GAAAATTAACATGTCAATGGAATGTAGTATGTATGTTGAACATCTTTCGTCCCAATATTGTTCTCCAAATGTCAATCTCGGTTCGGGGGAGAGCGATGTGAAATGTAATCAGGTAGTGAGAGGAAACGCCTGGGATGAGAACTTCACTTTCTTCATTAGCAGTTTGTTCACAAGTGACTAATCCTCCCCTTGCGTCTTTCACAACGGGGGAAACATGGGCAGTCTCTCACAGATTAAATAAAGACACCAAGCACGTCTTTGGAAATGTCCAGCCATTAAAGCAAGACACACGCTGCAGTGGTCACTTAAAGTTGAGGCATGTTTCTATGTTGGTTATTTATTACGATCAAACACGTTTAATCAGAAAGTCTGACTTGAGTCTCAAGACTCTTTTTAGGAGGGTCCTGCCAATGTTTTCGTGGGATGGAGGCGATGTTGCTGTGTGATCCCACTTGAGTCATTTGCAGGTAATATTCAGCATTGGGATGCTTAACCAACACCAGTTACAGTGATTTAGCTATAGGAGGAAAACAGGGAACCAAGATGAACCCCATGCAGAACAAGGAGATCAAACTCCAAACAGAAAGGCACCCAAGTCCGGAGTTGAACCCAAACAGACTCTTTGCTATGAGGCCCAAGTTTCACCACTGTGCCACACTGCCCCACCCCAATGCTACAAAAACTATGGTTGTGCTGGATCATTCGTTTCCGAATTTGTTTGTGATTTTCAGCGGTGTATTTTTTTAACCTTTTACATTGCTTTACACGTTATTTTTCAAAACCATAAAACAATTAAAACACACACATTACAAGATGTTAATTAGCTAAATCTGGAAAGGTGGTTTTGTGAATCAAATGTAAATGCCAGGGCATCCCCTCCCTGAATAATCCCGGTATTAGTTCACAATGCCTGTATGTTGAACGTCTTTCACAACGTACGTAGCCAACGGTGCGAGTGTGTGTACTCCTGCTACAGGGCAGTGTTGAACGTCAGTATATGATGTGTTGCTTGCAGTTCTCGTGTCACGTCGGGTCGCAGCCCGCTTGCTGACCTTCTACAGCTGAAAGTGTTTATTCCAAAAGATCAAGAGGTTCCACGTGGCTTTGTACAGAACCGATGTGGCTCCAGCTTACAACGAGCGGTGATTCTATACCAGCAACAAATGCCACGACCTCTGCCAACGGGAGAGCCTACAGATCCCATCATTAATTCAATTTTGTAAGAAACATCGGGGAATTGTTGACAACTATTGGTGCGGTTTAAGAACTTCGCGACGACACTGGCATTTTATGCTCACCTGGTTAAATAACTTCACGAAAACTACGTGATGGATGTAAAAATCAAGTCTCCTTGCAAATGTATTTAATGTTGGGCACACCAGCTACTTACTGCGCCGTCCAACCACCAACTACAGTGTGTAAGCTGGCAACACACAAAGCGTATATGCAGGAGGAAGTGCTTTAAAATGTGGGCAACAACAATGAGCAGCAACCACGATGCCATGGCCCCGTGCCAGAATTTCCCTTGTAACTACACGAAGCATTTCTCGAGCTTCCAGCCCTTTGTAAATCCACGCACCGGATTGAAGCCCTCCCCAAGACCGCATCGGTCCACGGGAGTTGTGTGACCATACTTCACCACGCTGTATATATCTCCTGGTATAATTCAGTAGCCGTTGGGCAATCAACTGATGAAGGTCTCCTCACACCTTGGAGGTTTTCTATCATACTTCCCCCGTCTGACCAGAGAGCCTTCATGCAGTGAGGATTCACTAACATAAAAAAACACAATTACCATCAGTGGCGGGTTTTATCTGAACTCGGGCCGATGAGTGGGGCCCACAATCAGCCGTGACGGAGGAAGGGACTCTGGTTGAAAGCCAGAGTGCCCTGACCACGACACGTCTGTAGCCATCACCCACATGGTGTGGTGGTGGGCCTCTTCTAAGTCGACTTAGCCTCAAATTACTCAAGTATCTGGTGCAGTGTGTAAACATCGCCACTGGGGAGTCAAGAGTGGCCAGGCATGGTGCCGTTCACCCACCTCCTCGCGTGTCGTGCTGGCCTTCATAGGTGCTGCTCGCTAACAGCACTTGCCTCAAAGGTGTATTAAGGCTATACGGGGGGTCTTTGTCTTTAGTGGTATCCCTGGGTTTGATCTTAAACGAAGCGCATGGTGCACCGCAAACTGCATCCACTGCACAGACCATGGCAGGAGATGCGGATACCTGATGCACAAATGGAACATTAAAAACAAACTGCAGTAGTGTGCGACTGTGGTCATCCAGAAAAGACCCTACAACATATAACGACGCAATGCTCCGATCCACAAATGCGAAGGAGACGATAAGAATAATTTTGAACCCTTTCTGGCAAATAAAATAGGTGTCAAAACACCAAATAGATGATACACTTTTCAAGGCATCAAAAGGTATGTTTTGATACTGCCATAAATATCCCACCGACACGAAGGACACATCGCAGCGATTGACCTCCCGCTGCTGCTCCTGACGCCGCTGTGTCTGGCTTGACCACCTGGATGTGAAAGTGCAGCAAACGAAGGTTGGTGGCAGTGAAATCGCGTGCGGAGTGTGGGGGGCACTGGGCGTGAGGGCTTTGGCCACTCAGTGGGGCCGCGGATTTCCTTTGGCAGGGCAGCGGAATTTGGGGCCTGCTAGCCGGGAACCTGGCTGACCCTGCCTGACCCTGGCTGACCCTGCCTGACCTCCCCGGACTTCCAGTGACTGTTGCCATAGAGCACCGAGAGCTGGCGGTAAACACCGCGGCTTTGCCTGGCAGAGATCTTTATAATCGTATACAGTGCCCCGCGTTTACAATGTCATGTTTATGGGATCAGTATGGTGGCACAGGCGCTGAGGTTTAACGTAAATAGGGCTCCCGGGTTGACAGATTAGCGGCCCGTGAAAGCAGTCCTCTGGTATCGCCCGTCATTTGTCATGTGGCCCGTTTGAGCTGTAACTTTTACGGTATAACACGTGATGGATTTAACCGCGCACGTAGGTTTCCACAAGCAGTATCGACCGATTCATGATATGACCAAATCATATATACCTGGCCTAACCCACAAATGGGTCATGAATGGTACTAAATATGATTTGGGTCTTTCGGTAAAGTCACATAGATGGTTCAAAGATATAAAACTACGACGTTTCGGTCGTCGGAGTTTGTTATTTTCTTTGAACCATCTCCGTGACTTTACCGAAAGACCCAAATAATATGAATTCCTGCAGTCACGAAAGCTTGAAGTCGAGATTTGAATCGTACTAAATATTGTATCTTAATGTTGTGAAGCAGCATCCGTAAGATAAAAAAAACTGTTGAGGTCTGCAAAGTGATTCGACCTCGTGAACATTGCAGACTGCCTCTCGCATGGTCGCCCCGTGGTCGCGTGGATTGTTTTATTTCACGCTTTTATTTAACTCTGTCGTTGTTATATCCTCAAATCTTGTACCTACATTTTAACCCACTTCCCAATGTGGTATCGACTGCAAACTTGGTATACTTATGTCATACTCATGACAATACTATATTCTATCATAAAACAGCTTTATTTTTAAACATTCTTTTTTAGATGTTATGTTTCGGCTTGGGTCTAATTGTCCACGCTCAACTGACGTTGGCTGTAATTGCTCACGCTCCCTTACGTTATGGCAAGCTTCGGGGCCACTTCCTGGAGCTCTATGACGGTACATTTCATAAAAGTGTGTTTAAAAACAAATGTTTAAACATTACTTATTTCTCTGGGTCTTTCGGTTTTCCGCTCCCCATTTAGAACATCCCCAATCGCTTAGATTACTTGGCTGCTATAAATGTCCTATCGTCATGTGTGATAGAGATGGTTCGCTTCTGCAAAACAAGTGAAGAGCTCAGTGGGCTTTACCTGGAAAAATGTAACAAAAATGGTTTAGTTTCATTTGAATGTTTTGAAATGATGTATACCTTTACTATACTTTGCACTCCTGTCGTATTTGTTTTTGCATTGTTTGTTGTTGTAACGTTCTGACTCGGTCCTACTTGACATCTGTACAAATAAAGCGCTTCATAGCTCATCGGATTCCTCCACTACAAATATTCTGCCGTGCGCGGCTGAGCGGCGTGACCTGTGGCCCTCTGCACGGGGGGCCCGCGGGGCTCTGGGGGGGCCCACAGGGCCCCGAGGGGGAGGGGGGCCGTGGGGTTCTGATGGGGGGGGGGGGTTCTGATGGGGGGGGGGGTGCCGGGCTCTGAGGGGGGCGGGGCTCTGAGGGGTGCCCGCTGGGCGCCTCGTGGCCCGGGCTCCCTGCTGACCCCCCACGCGGCTCGCACGTGGCGGAGGGAGCCTCGCCACGTGGTCAGTCTCCACCCGCACCCCGCCCCTCCACCCTCACCCCGCCCCTCCACCCGCACCCCGCCCCTCCACCCGCACCCCGCCCCTCCACCCTCTCCCTGCCAAACGACCTTCAGCCCCCACAACATGAAACAAGTGGCTGTGACGTCGGCACGGTGCTTGTGCCAGGCTAGGTGCACTTCGAGGGCTGCCTCCCTTCCACACTCACAGCCCATAAATCCTGGCCCCCGCCCTCCAACCCTCTTGTCGAAGCGCAAAGTCGTTCCGTGAGCAGTGGGGGCAGCAGCGAGGGCAGCACGGGGGGGGGCAGCACGGGGGGGGGGGCAGCACGGGGGGGGGGGGCAGCACGGGGGGGGGGGGGCAGCACGGGGGGGGGGCAGCACGGGGGGGGGGCAGCACGGGGGAGGGGCAGCACGGGGGGGGGGCAGCACGGGGGGGGGGGCAGCACGGGGGGGGGGCAGCACGGGGGGGGGGCAGCACGGGGGGGGGGCAGCACGGGGGGGGGCAGCACGGGGGGGGGGCAGCACGGGGGGGGGCAGCACGGGGGGGGGGCAGCACGGGGGGGGGGCAGCACGGGGGGGGGGCAGCACGGGGGGGGGGGCAGCACGGGGGGGGGGGCAGCACGGGGGGGCAGCGGGGGTTGCCGACTCACCGCCCTGGGTGCAGAAAAGAGTCTCGTGCCCGTGCGAGAGTCTCGGCTGCCTGCTGCCCGGCCTCCCCCAGCCTGCCCCCGTTGGCGGGTCGCCGAGACGAGAGCTGCTGCTGCCCCGCTCTGCTGTCGGCGCAAGAGCAGCAACAGCAACAACAACAGCGGCGGTGGTGGTGGTGGCGGCAGTGGTGGTGGTGGCGAGGCAAGCGACGTGGAGCGAAGTTTCACGCCGCGCGCCACGGGGGGGAGGGGCGAGGGGTGGGGGAGGGGCGAGGGGGTGGGGGAGGGGCGAGTGGGTGGGGGAGGGGCGAGGGGGTGGGGGAGGGGCGAGGTGGTGTGGGGGGGTCTCCACGAGCCCGCCACGTGCCACGTGCCGCGTGCTGTGAATGTCGAGTCCGATGTTGTTGTTGAGCTGCTCGGCCATTCATTGCACCCAAGCGGTTAACAGATCGCGACGTCCCACGACTGTTTCATTTGCTCGGCACGTGTTTGTGTGTGAGAAAGCAACGGTCCGTTCAACAACAAAAAAATCATGCAATTACCGTTATGCAGTCTATATATTTTTTAAAGCCTGTTTTAACAACCCGAAAACAAATGTATCAAATTTCATGAACACAAATTATGAGCGATGCTTATCTTGTGGAAAGCAGCGAGTAGGCCAGTGAGTGGTTTCTGCCACACGAGGACACCCAGTGGGTGCACGGTCGCCCCCGCGTAGCGGTGCTGGTGGCATGTGCCAAGCATCAGTTCCTGGCGAGGCCAAATGAAGCTTGACAAGACGTTTGGGTAGGCCTGGATACGTAAACGGTTCCAAGTGTGTGTTGACTTTCCCTTCGCTGTAACAGTATTACATCTGAGAGGCAAGAATCATCTTCGTCCAAATCCACCTCCGAGATTCAGATTTGAACTTGAGAGATCTATGTTGGGCTTAACATGTCAGTCTGGTTGTCCAAAACTTAGGGGCCGTCCATAAATGACGTCACGCGATTTTGGACGATTTTTGACCCCCCCACCCCCATCGTCACACGGCGTCACAAAAAGTCAGACCCCCCCTCAAATATGACGTCACAAAGCTCTGCCCTCCTCCCCAAAAATAATAATAAAACATGCTTCAAATCGCTTTAAACTGTTGTCATTGTAGTGCGTATTCAATGTGCCGCTGCACTCTGATGTTGTAGGAGAAACATTTATTAAAAAGTCTATTAAATTAAGTAGAACGTGTTGTCTATATTTATTTAAAGTTGCGCATTTTGATGTGACGTCACATTTCTCACCCCCCCCCCTCGTCACAAATGTCTGACCCCCCCGAGGTGCGTGACGTCATTTATGGACGGCCCCTTACAATTTAGAGTATATATTTTCTCTATAAATAATCTGAACTCACAATGTATCTGACAAATGCAGCCTCGTGTTGGTGGTGACATTTCAGTTATGGGCGCCACGGTGGCGAGATGTTAACTGCCTCGCCCGGCATGCAGGAGGTCGTGGGTTCGATCTCGATCCCGACCCTGACGCCTGCTGTATATTTGGAGTATGTTCTCCCCGTGATCGCATTGACTTTTCTCCGGGTCCTCCGGTTTTTACCTCCACATTTAGAAACATGCGTTTAGAGTATTTGGCTGATATCAATTTTCACATAAGCCACTTCGTTGAGCTATCGTTTGTGGCCAGATCGCTTTAAAAAAGAGCTACATAACTCAGTGGGCCTTGCGGTAACAAAAAATAGTTTAGTTTAACTTTTGATTGTTTTTGCAAGGTCAATCTTAACCGTGGTTGAGAATGTTCCTTATGTCACCATGTTCAGTGTGCCATCGCTCCACCGTGCATGCATCTTTTTGCACTAATTGAGCCGAGACAGGATTCTAAACAGACACCAATAAACGTGGCTCAGGACACAGGAAAGATCCATCTCCAGATAACGTGAAGCATTTCTTACAAGTTTATTCAGACATGTCCAGAGTTTGCTTGTGCTGGAGCAATGCTGCTGAACTTATGCACTCCCAGAAAGAAGGTCGTGTAAGTTGATGGTATGGGTACAAAACACTTTCATTTTTTACAGAGATATGCAGGCGTATATTCTGCTGATTTATTTAATTTAATTCTCAACAACGCTAATTGGTGCTACTCCTTAGAGCAGCAATACGCTTCTCACCTTAGATGGCTGTAAATCAGAGGGATTCTAGCCTGTGCTGTATATTAGAAATAATCCTAAGCAACGCACTTCAGGTGAACTATCGAAAGCATTATTGTATCGTATATCATTCATACTGAGTTTTGCAGTAAATAGAAGAACAAGACTCAAAGTGACTGCCCACAGAAACATGCCTCCACCGAATACAGTCGTCATATCCATCGTGGGAAGAAAGGGGGCTTGTGTCGCAAGACCTGTTAACCCCTTATCAGGGAGAGACATCAACAAAAAGACGAAAAATATTTGCCCGTATTGAAATGTCTGGACCTGAAAACAAAATTTGCATGTACAAGGATACGGGTAGACCGTATGGGCTGGTTGACGCGGTATGGTGTCGGATCAAGCCGAATGGACAAGAGAGTCGATGCCGACCAAAGCGTGAGACCCTGAAGACACGCGGTGCCCATAATTTTGCTGGACAAATGTGTTAGGGAAAGGGTAAAGGCGCAGCTACCCTGCAATTGACCGCCTCCACTGGGATAGTTCCTCAAGGCGGGCTTTGGCCTAAGCTGATGTTTCCCTATTGAGAATTCAAATTCTTTAAGGAGCCACAATCAACTTACAAACAAAATGAGCAAATACGAGTTTGACTGTAGTATCGTCGACTTGTGCAAATATTTGAAACATGATTCTGAGCGCGAAGGGATGAGAGATGAAAGTGGTGTACAGTATAGGAATTTCGTGTTCATGGCCACAATAGTAATATTGTATTTCCCTATCGCCATATTAACTTTGTTAACACGTTCAAGGCGATGTAAGGCGGCTTCTTCCTGGGTACGTTTATGAAATAGCTGCTGTGCTGCGGTGCTCGAGGTAATGGTTCATTGGGGTGTGTGGCAGCTTGAGAACACGAGGCTTTGCGTACCCATTTGCCTAACCCGATAATCGGATGTTGACAACACCAGCTGACTGATTAAAAAAAAAGAGGGCCGTGAAATATTAATCTTTTTGTTCATTCTTTAACGAGGTGTCGGTAAAATATATTTACAAGTGTCAATGTACAGAAGGGAAGTGTTTTGCAATGGAGTTGATGCTCAAAAAGAGCACCTTCATGGAAATGCACCCAATAACCCAGAAGAGAGTAATAACCTGGAGGTACAGACGTTTCGAGTTCGTCAGCCTCGCCATATTTACATTTTGCTCGGTCACAAGTTGGAAATTCACAATAAAGCAAAGTGTGCATACGTAAAAAAAAAGACGTGTGCACGCTTGACCATACATTCTGGACATTTCTGCAAACACTGCACTGTTGGGAAACGTAATTTGTTCATTGCTGCACGAGTATTAAAACATGGAACACGTGGGATAGAATGTTGTGCTCGTGACTTGAGGGATCAGCCAAGTTATGTACCCAATGGCACAGCTGCGCCCTGCTGCATGGATGAAATCTCAATAGCACCATATGTAAGCGGGCCAAAATAATATTTCACTTTATAACGCGTAGTTTCATATTCACAATGGTATATACAGCACAACCGAAATACATCACGTTAGTCTTCATAAAAATTGAGGATTGTTTTTTTTCTCAGCACTTCCAGGGTTAGTGGAATTGCATTCGTGCATTTCTTGCACAAACTTCTCATCGTACAACGTGAAGGGGCTGCATTAGCAGTGGGGCACAGGCACAAGCCAAAATAAAACTTGTCCACCCTCATAACGAACTGTACCACATCAGAACAATATACAAGCGCTGTGAGCAAATGATCCATATGACCATCTTACAAGACGTTGGCCTAACTCTGATGGTGCATTGTCTTTGAGTTGTGCGCCTCTTGGCGTCATCTGGTCCAACTCCATGTGAGACTGGGCTCTAAGAAAAGCTGTCTCGGGTGTGGACCAATCAATTTCAAGGACAGTGCATACATTTTCAGAGTTGTTTTTTGTTTGCATTCCGACCGCAGGTATTGTGGTCAATGCAAACATGACTCCTTGTAAAAAAAGGTGTCAGTTTTGTTGCCAGATAAAAGGATAAAAAAACAATTATCAATGTTACATGTCTGCTATAACACAGTGCTAATGACGCAGGCGGTGCTATTTGGTTTGTGTTTAAATGCCATACATAGGTTGTTATTTTGCTATAATATGTATAAACACCTTTGGGATAAATAAAAAAATATCAGAAAATTTTCCAGCATCTAAACACCAAAATGTATAAAGATGCTGATATATGCTAGAACGGGTGAGTCTCATGTCAAAACCAAAGTTCACTATGTTAACCGTTGCTCCTTGCTAATTTTCCCATTCACGCCATAAGCGTGTAACACAATTTACTTGAATGTAACAAAACAACGAAATGTTGCCTAAAATAAATTGATGCATTTCAGTAGCTGATATGTAAACCGTGAGTGAGTGCGAATGGCATTCCAGGAGGTATAATGTGATTTGACCAAAGAGTAACTTCGCAGCGGCAGTGGCTCTGGACGGCTTGAACCGGGTATCCCGCCCATCTTCACCACCGACTTTCAGCCGCACCCAGCCGATTGGGCACCTTCCAGGAGAGAAACGAGAACCACGTGGCAGTCTTCCTCCTTCATCCGCCGCGTGATGTTTGTCAGGTGGAAGATCTTGCTCGGTCAGTTCCAGCGCTGGCAATGTCCCTATTCCCCCAAGGCGCCTCGTGCCACACAGTGTCCAAGTTCGGCGGAGCGGGGAGCCGAGAGGCGCACGGCAACAGCTTGGCTCCAGTGAGGCTGCTGGGTCACGCCTCGTGGCCGTTGGACGCTGGGGCTGCCTGGGTCTGCTGGTTGGTTTCGTCCTTCTGTGGGGGCCTCTTGCGGTGGAAAAAGCCCACCTTGTAGGCCAAGATGGGGAGACATAAACACCGGAATGTATAACGCAGTATAGTCATTACATGAGGCAGTCTGTGTATTGAGTACTTTCTATTTTGGGAGTCTGTGGCAATAACTGGTTCCCAAATCGGTGGAAGACCTTACGTGTATGGAAGAGGAAGTGTTATTGTTATTATAATTTTTTTTCCATCTTTCAAAACTCTCACTTTCCCCAAGTGTGTGAGTTCTCATGGGCAATACAAGTTTTGATCACAGATCTG